CATGCTTTAGCCAAACGGCAAATTATTAAACGCTTCCGTGCTCAGTATGGCCTCAATCGAAACAAATCACGCCCGGTCGTATGTGCAACGTTGTTTCACGCGCCGCTTCCCAACGGCCCACGGTGACGGCTGTGACCCCGGCTCTGCCTGCGGCGCCAGTTTCGACGCGAGGGGTGAGCGCGCCTTCTCGGAGGGCTCGGTCGAGCGGGACCTGTTCCGAGGGGCGCGGGCCCTGTTCGTGACGGATCGGCAGCCTCCGGCGCTGCGGCTGGACACACTGGGGCCCGGCGACGAGGCGCTCTACCGCTGCCGGGTCGACTTCAAGCTGAGCCCAACCCGCAACCAGCGCGTCAACCTGACGGTCATCGGTGAGCGTCTCTCTCTCTCTCTCTCTCTCTCTCTCTCTCTCTCTTCTCTCTCCTCTCTCTCTCTCTCTCTCTCTCTCTCTCTCTCTCTCTCTCTCTCTCTCTCTCTCTCTCTCTCTCTCTCTCTCTCTCTCTCTCTCTCTCTCTCTCTCTCTCTCTCTCTCTCTCTCTCTCCTCTCTCTCTCTCTCTCATCTCTCTCCTCTCTCTCTCTCTCTCTCTCTCTCTCTCCTCTCTCTCTCCTCTCTCTCTCTTCTCTCTCTCTCTCTCTCTCTCTCTCTCTCTCTCTCTCTCTCTCTCTCTCTCTCTCTCTCTCTCTCTCTCTCTCTCTCTCTCTCTCTCTCTCTCTGCCTCTCTTCCCTCTATCCTCTCCTTCTCTTTCTCTCTCTCTCTGCCTCTCTCTCTCTCTCTTTCTCTGTCTCTCCTCTCTCTGCCTCTCTCTCCCTCTCGCCTTCTCTGTCTCTTCTCTCTCCGCCTCTCTCCCTCTCTTTCCCCTCTATCTCTTCCTCACTCTCACTGCAACTCAAACTACCAGTCTGCTTTGTAATCGCCGACATAACGGTCATTAAAGTCTAGTGGCTAGGGCCTTAAGAAATGTTTTGGAGTTAAGTGGCAAGTGCAGGCGGACCAGCCAAGGTAGTCCTGAAATCCATGACGGCATTTAATATTGTTAATATCCGTGACAGCGGGCTTCAGTCGGGTGCCAACGGCTACAATGAACCGTAATAAGCGTTGCATCGGCAAGTCGCCGGACCGCCCCAGAAGTTTGTTGGCATTAAATTCCAATTTATCGACTCAACATTGCGCAAGTTTCCGCATAAATTATGGTGATGCTCTCCTTGATGGTGGACGCTGCGCTGCTCTCTGAACTTATCTCGCTACTTTGCATCGCGACGAGGGCCGTGCACTGTTTGAATGGGTCTTGCGAAGGGTATGTTTCTCCCAAGAGAGGTGGTGGAGCCCGAGGAATCGGATTTGTGCCTCCTCACAAAGTTCGCGGCTCCGAATGACCATCAACGCTGCTTCTAGAACACGGATGGCAACGAAGCTGGTCAGAATGTGCATTGAATCGGTTTCCTGGAAGTGGACGAAAGCTGCTGCTCACACTGGTGTGGCCCCTGTGGAAGCGACCTGTCGTCTCTTCCATGTTTATACGTGGTTCGCAGAATGCAGCACAACGCATGCTATATTAATTTCCCCTTTCTATCGCTCTTATTTGCAGCACTACATCGACTTGGGTGGGTGGTTCGATGCTGTGATATGATACCGTACAACAGCCGGAACCGAAGCTCCATTATTTCATCGGACAGGATAGGCGGGAAAAATCCCAGCGTCGTTTTATCTTTTCACGCCCCTTTGATCGAGTATTTGAAGGTAGCACTCACTGGGAGCGAAAGCAAACACCAGTCGGACCATGCACCCGCGAGGTACACTACTCCACGGTGGCGGCCCGCTTATGATGATGACCCGGCCTGTCCGCAGTGCCACCGGACCGGCCTGTGATCCTACACGCGGCCCGGGAGGTCAGCGTTTCGCTGGACCGGCTGGTGATGATGACCCGGCCTGTTCTCAGAGACACCGGACCGGCCTGTGATCCTGCACGCGGCCCGGGAGGTCAGCGGTACGTTGGACCGGCTGGTGATGATGACCCGGCCTGTCCTCAGTACCACCGGACCGGCCTGTGATCCTACACGCGGCCCGGGAGGTCAGCGGTTCGCTGGACCGGCTGGTGATGATGACCCGGCCTGTTCTCAGAGCCACCAGACCGGCCTGTGATCCTGCACGCGGCCCGGGAGGTCAGCGGTTCGCTGGACCGGCTGGTGATGATGACCCGGCCTGTTCTCAGTGCCACCAGACCGGCCTGTGATCCTGCACGCGGCCCGGGAGGTCAGCGGTTCGCTGGACCGGCTGGTGATGATGACCCGGCCTGTTCTCAGTACCACCAGGCCGGCCTGTGATCCTGCACGCGGCCCGGGAGGTCAGCGGTTCGCTGGACCGGCTGGTGATGATGACCCGGCCTGTTCTCAGTGCCACCGGACCGGCCTGTGATCCTACACGCGGCCCGGGAGGTCAGCGTTTCGCTGGACCGGCTGGTGATGATGACCCGGCCTGTTCTCAGTGCCACCAGACCGGCCTGTGATCCTGCACGCGGCCCGGGAGGTCAGCGTTTCGCTGGACCGGCTGGTGATGATGACCCGGCCTGTTCTCAGTGCCACCGGACCGGCCTGTGATCCTGCACGCGGCCCGGGAGGTCAGCGGTACGCTGGACCGGCTGGTGATGATGACCCGGCCTGTTCTCAGAGACACCGGACCGGCCTGTGATCCTACACGCGGCCCGGGAGGTCAGCGGTTCGTTGGACCGGCTGGTGATGATGACCCGGCCTGTTCTCAGTGCCACCGGACCGGCCTGTGATCCTGCACGCGGCCCGGGAGGTCAGCGGTTCGCTGGACCGGCTGGTGATGATGACCCGGCCTGTTCTCAGTGCCACCAGACCGGCCTGTGATCCTACACGCGGCCCGGGAGGTCAGCGGTTCGCTGGACCGGCTGGTGATGATGACCCGGCCTGTTCTCAGTGCCACCAGACCGGCCTGTGATCCTGCACGCGGCCCGGGAGGTCAGCGGTACGCTGGGACCGCTGGAGGAGGGCGCGCCGCTACAGCTCACCTGTCGCTCAGACGGTGGTACGTGACAGCCCTGGCGCTCGGACCCACACAGCGCACGGGACTCCACGGCAGCTGGCAACGTCTGCCGAGTCCGGCTCCCGCTCGCCCGTCGCGCCGGCTGATCCGACTTACCGCTGAAAGACTCAGACGTTTTTGTCGTGTGTTATACTGTTCCAAAAAAACTCGGACAAAGGGCCGTCTTTTGTCTTGCGTGTGCACTGCGTAAACAATGGGCTCACACTGATTCCGACCGCTTACGTGAGATAAGCAAGCACCCATCAGTCTTTGTTCGTTGGATTACGTAACATTCTGGTCCATGTTTGTATAGCCGCTCCATCATATGCATTGCACGGTAGTAATCCCACTTACCGATTGATTAATCCCTTTCATGAATGCGGATTATTGGGCGCGAACATGGCTTATGCTGTGTGACGTCACATTGTCAGGTGCCGCCCTTCTCCCACCAGGCTATTTCGTCAATTTTTGTTCCCAGTGCCCTTCCCATGAACTACTTTCATCGCCCAGCCGTGTAAGCAGAAGAGATAAGGTGATGCCACGGCCCCACGCTGTGAACTAATACGGGCCATCTGCACACACTATCGGTCGTGCCCTCCACACTACATGTCTTCTTCTGGGAGGCAACTGCCCCGCTACATTTCACAGAGGCAAAGAACAAAAACTCTACAACCAGACGCACATGCTTGCTTGCCGTGTTGTTTTCCTAAACACAATGCAACGCTAAAAACGAGCGTTGGTTGTCTCGGTTTCTCGCAAAAGATACAGTGATTCCGTGCGTTTGGCGGCACTGTAGCTTGACTGCAGTCAGTCCCACATAAAGTGTGTAGGCATCTTCTTGTCAGTCCTGGTACCGGCATTGGTGCGAGGATCCACAGGGTTCTGTCACTTGGGTATGAAGGAGGGGCGCTATGTCATCCACTTCTGTTTCGCCACGCCGCTTCGAAATTGGTTGAGCAGATCAAGATTTCGAAGCAAGACGTATTGAAGACCGTTTAGCGAGGCTGGTCACAAGGACACGTAAAGAGAGGGAGAGTTTGTCAGAAGGCTTGTCCAACCCGAGGGGCTTCACGGTATTGATAAGGCTCCAAAAATCTGTCTTTCTGATTGCGTCTCACTCACGCTTGTTAGCAGTGGCCCAATTTCAGACCAGCAAGGGCGTATTGGGCGATGTAGGGCTTTAAACGCTGTCTGAAATCGCGTAAAAAGCTCATTCATCATTGTTGTGAATTAGGTCTTCAAAAATGATGAAAATAATGCAAATTTGGAAGGCCTTCCTCTAGTGTGGAAGGGCCTTCGGGCCTCTCTTTAGACGGCCTAGGAGCAACAACTCTTCAAAAATGAGGTTGACCTCCCCTTTCGCCTCTCCCCTTGGTTTTCTCTTTGGCCTCAGCGCAATTTTGATGGGACTACGCCTCGTCAGTTGAGGAGAATGCGTATGGTATGGTTCCTTGCCATCAGCTGACCACTAATTGTCTTGATATTTTGCGTTGCTTTTTTGCTATTTTTGCAGTATCGCTGTTGTGTATCATTTTGTGTTTTATGATTTTGTATTGCGTGGCTATCATAAATGTCACATTTGTTGTATTAATATATTTTGGAATGCATTCTTCACGTTAGACCAATGTCATAGCAACCGAGAATTTGATACTAAATAATGTGTAGGGTGAGCCAGCAAGGGTAAAGCTTTCCGGAAATATTTCATGGACTGAATGGGATCGAGGCAATTATTTGAGTCGCTTATGCACAGCGACCTCGGGCCACATGCCGTAAACAGAGACGCGAAATGCGGACCCGCCCCCCTCCCTACCCTACACTCATACACTTACAAAGTTATCCCGACCGTAGTCGGACGGGAAGCCGACGTTCCAAGCGTCGGACAACGCCCCCCCCCCCCCCTCCGTCGGCGGACGGCGCCGCTGTCGACGCCGACGATGACGCGCCGCCGCCGCCGCCGCCGCAGACAGTCATACATCTTGGCGGATTCGTTTCCAATCGCGTCGCGTATGCAGAGCGGGCAGGCGGCCGTCCGGTGGCGACGCTTGGCAGCGGCCGCACGCCCGCCGCTCGGCCCGCCTGATGGACTGAGGGATGCGACGCGGCCGGCGCTCATGAATGATAAGGCTCGGCCGGCGCGTGGTGCTCACCCCGCCGCCGCCGGGCCGCCGGCGGGCCCCGGCCGCGCCCGCTGGCACCGCTCGGCGGTGCAGCGGGCTGTGGCGTTGGCAGGTGGTGATCTGTGGTAAGCTGTGGTGACCTGGGGTGACCTGGGGTGATGGTGTACTGCTGCGTGAGCGTCAGTACTCCTGACACTGACGGTGGTGACCTGACCTGGAGTTTGCTGACGCTTGTTGGTGACTGGGGCTGTCTATTTATCACGTTGTACGTGAAGGCAAGGGTTTTATAAGCAGCACGCTCATTTACGTTTTGCGCATTCAGCTCAATCAAAGTGAATGTTCCTCATTTGAAGATATGGAAGCAAACATCAGATATGATTAAATAGGTTCACTTATAACTATTGGAATACTTTTGAGTGGAAAAGGCCACCCTAGACAACACAATTTCTCTGTTTAAAGAGTATATTTCTCAATACGTAATTGCTTGGTTGCGTCATCGTATCGTGCACAACACTGATTCAGAGACAATTGATCACCGTTATATCTGAAATCAGATATATACGAATCAACAATGATGTTTTTATTGCCCTTGATCACTGCACGACCGATGGAATGGCAGGCTTTAAATGAAGCTATTATGATGTCGTAGGTGTCTGCGCGACCTTAAAGTAGTGTTCCGAAATAGTCTGCGTATCGCTTCGGCCGTGTAGCTTTAAAACTGGACAGCTTTAGGTCTTAAGGAGGGCGGGTCTGTAAGCCGCACAGAACGCTCTTCAAGATGGCTATTTCAGTTCAAACCCTCATACAATGTACCCGCCCCTTTAAGAGCCAAACGGACGTTATATTTTTGGAGGATAAGTTCCAAATGGCGTAAGGGGAGGGACCCTGAGTGTAACCAGTGAGTACCCAAGAGAGAGCGAGAGGGGGTTGAAAAAGGACCGAAAAACGAAACTTGATTTATGAACAGTCGCATCGATCAACCCATGTTGTTGAAGAGTACTGATCCATGGCGGCTATCGCGAATGAATTTATTATTACACCTTGTGTCAGCAGTCGGCGATCCTGTTTTGGATGACCTTCGATGTTCACCAACAGTTCCGTTGTTGCCTTGATGTGCACCGATTATTTACACTTTGGTGACACGCGGCTCTAAGAACAGTGCCTGGTGATCTGTTTCCAGGCCGACCTACCCCTGTGGTGACCTGGACGAGGGACGGCCGTCTGCTGAACCTGTCGTCGGAGCCCTCGGGCCACGGCAGTCGGGTCAGCAGCGAGCTGCATCTGCCCCCACTGAGCAGGGCAGACCTGCACACGCGGCTGGAGTGTGCCGCTTCCAACACCAATGCCAGCCGACCCATCTCCAACCACGTGGTCGTCGACATCAACTGTGAGTGGACGTCGCGGACATCAGAAAGGAGAGGCATGTTCACAGGACGTGGATCGTGAAGCGGAAGGTCACTGAGTTAGGGACCAGAGAACATAGGATGACGGAGTGGAGGATTTTGTAGTAGAGAAGTATGGTGAGGATGCTAACAGAGTGGAGGCTCACAGAGTGGAGGGTCACGGAATGCCACGGAGTGAAGGGTCACAGAGTGCAAGGTCACGCAGAGAGTGCAAGGTGACGTAGGGAGTGTGGGGCCACGAAGTGGAGGATCCCAGAGTTGGGGTCATGAAATAAAGGGCGACGAAGTGAGGTCGCGGAGGAAATCAGACTAGAGGGTCGCAAACTGAAGGACAACGAGTTTG